TCCCGAACAACAGTATCCGAACCCTTACGCCCTTGCCTATACGCACCCACAGAATGGCCCCTTGAAGCGAAGCGGCTGCCTGCGTTCCAGTGGTCAGACCATGCGGATATGGCTGTCAAGGCCCGGATCCGAACTATAAAGGGAATGGACGTCCCCTGACCATTACCAACAAGAGCATCAAACTGAGAGCCAACTATCACCATGTCCATCAACCTCACTGGAAAAACCTGCCTCGTTACCGGTGGTGCCGGAGGCCTAGGCAAAGCTATCGCTACCCGGTTCTTCGCCGCCGGAGCCAACGTGGTCATCTGCGACGTGAACGAGGAGCGACTTCATCAGACGTCGCTAGATCTTGCCGGACCCAGCGGCGACGCAAGACTCAAAGTCATTAAGACAGACATCACCTCCGCGACAGAGGTGCAAGCCCTTTTCGATGAAATCGTCGCGCAATTCCAGAAACTTGATATCCTCATCAACAATGCCGGAATCATGGATCAGTTCGATGCCGTCGGTGACCTGGACGAGAAGCTGTGGGACAAGGTCATGGCTGTGAACCTGACTGCGCCTTTTCTGTTGAGCAAACTGGCTGTTCGGAATATGCTTGCCCAGGAGGTTGTCAACGGAAGTATCGTCAACATCGTCTCGATTGCTGGAAAGGCGGGTTGGATGGCGGGTATGTTTTCTACCGAATGATTCCCAATGTCTGGATAGATCGACTGACAAGTGAAAGGTGCCGCATATACCGCTAGCAAGCACGGCCTCGTTGGCTTGACCAAAAACACAGCTTCATACTACGGCAACAAGGGCATCCGATGCAATGCGCTGATGATGGGCGGCATGGAGACGAACATCACGGATGCTTTCATGTCCAACATTAACCTGGAAGGAAAGGACAAGGCCGTTGCTCTCATGACTGCTGCTGCGGCACCGATGTGCGATATCAACCGCGTTGCTGAGCTGTGTTTGTCTATCTCTTGTGGTCCTGGGGCGGAGATCATCAACGGGACATGTATCCCGATCGATCATGGAATGTCGGGAGTGTTGGGTTGATTCTGGCTTATATAGATAGATACCCAGCCGACTGTATATTTTCTCTTCAATGTAAATACTTTACACCCACTATCCCTTCCACCTCATTAACACTATAACAAAAATTGTAAACCTCGCCCGGATATGTTCTCCACTCCTTCACAACCCTAACCTCACCCCAACACCCCAGCTGTAATCACCAACTTCCGCACAAGTCGAACTCCACATACAGCCACCACCAAATAGTCTCAAGAACATGGCTGGAATTCCTTTCTGCGTTGTAGGGAAAGCCATCATCTCCAGTAACTTGAGGTGCCACATTATCATTACCAATTGCCAATTCTCGATATGTTATATAGCCTGTTAATGGGCGTTCCGAAAGGCACATTGATCAGCGTGTCTTTCTGATCAAGGTATACTTCCCAATGTGTACCTAGATGAAAGAAGAAAATTCCCCAAAGACATGAATCATTGGCTTACCGGTGGACATAGAAGAGGTACTACTAGTACATACTACTTAGTACTTACTAGTGGGTGGTAACTCTCGGCCAGTCATCACCCGGGTAATGCGCGACCTGCGTCCAATCATGTCTTATTTCAATACATCGAGCAAAGGTCCCTGCAAAGCATAATCCTTGAACAGGGTCGGGGTATACGGGCTACGAGCATTGTGGGCGTCGATTACAAACACAGTATCCCACGCATTAGTCCAGATGTGTCGCGGACGTTCTCCGAGCTATGTTGCTGTAGGTCGGATTCCAAAACTACTATGGATATATTGAGACCTAGTTGGTTTCATCTGCTGTTGAGGAGTCGGGAAATTTCCTAGTGACTTCAATATATTGGTGTTTTTGCCGGGATGGCTTGTCAACGGTTTGGAGCATTGTCCTCAGCATTGACCGAGGCTATGCTATCAGCTCTAGATGATTCACACACCTCGATTGAAAGATATACAAGTGGTAAAGTGATCGTCGTCTTTCTACATGTATGTATACTAGCACGGACGTATAATGTCTGCTCACCACCGCCGCGTATCGTTTGATTGGCTGTGACTCAGTCAAGCTATATTGTCTGAGCGCCATAGTATCCGATTCCAAGCGCAGTGAGCTCGAAGCAAAGCTATCAGGTCTGAAATTGGAGGAGTGATTGGCTGAAGATAGGTGGCTTGAAATGGCCGACGCTGCCCTCGCTCAAAATCAGGGCATCCGGAAGATGTTGGTTCGGGAATGAGAGTGGTGTGCCTACAGCCGAGCTGGTGTCAGGTGTCCCGTAGGTGTGGCTGTTTTAGTTGACGTGCTCATATTTAGGTTCTGACTGTAAGCATCCAGACCAAGACATCCACATCATGCCCGGGCCTTTTCTGGGGGCTATACATGGCCGGACCGTATGCGAATGAGTCAACGAGGCTTTGCGACAATCCACTCAAGTGGATTCATAAGATCCGAATTCATTAGGTCATGGTAAATCGCTCACACAATTCGCCATAGTTCCGGTTCCTGCTCGGGATAGATGCATTACCAGGCTGCATACGCACAGACTCGGCCCTGGCAGCTCCCATGAAAGCTTCTGCACTCACTGTTGGATGCCGCTATGTCGGAGTATATACTAGTGTCGGAGGGACGTTCCCAGCCATGGATCCAGACCACGCTCAGAGACAGGGATGGATTTGGTACCAACGGCTGTTCGTCGACAAGTCGCATCTGGCATCCTTTGCCCAGGACGTTAGGACACCGGCAAGTGTTTCAGTTGCATAAAGACCAGCTTCCTTTTTCAGACCTTTGACGTCAATGCTAGCCAATAAGCTAGTCAGGACATGACTTTAATATCAACAGATGAGAGGGGCGACCGTAGCACGGGATCTGTTGTCTTGGACGCGCACGTTGTCTAGCATAGCCCCCATCCAAACTCGATGCCAAATCCAAGAAAGGCAATAGAAGAGAGGAGGGGAAGGTGTGACGAGCAACAAGTGACAGAGGAGGTGAAGCACCAGCGCGGCCTAGGTAGTCAGCCCTGCAGGGGTTATTCCAGTCACAGTGGATGGCGGGGTTATTGATTGATTGAATCAGCCATTGTGACGCGTGATTGATCTGCATCCCAGTCACCACCACCACCAGTCTCAGGCTGTAACTAAATATGTAGCTGGCTCGAAGGCAACGGACAAATCAGCTCGAGTCGATCTGCCGGGGGGGCAACGTTGCGTCTGACGAAGCCTACCCTCCAGACCCGCGAGCAAATAAATTTTCGTCAGGACATCCTGGTGTAAGATCTATGTTGGTGCCTGCGCCATGGATCGAGGGTTATCCGGCAGGGCGGGACAATGAGCCTTCACGGACCAGACACGAAAATATACGGCAACAGGGATTATTGGGCAAACTGTAAAGACAGATTGGCTAGTAAATGATATTCTGTAGCGCAAATGGAACCCACAAAGATTGTATCGTCACGGCTATTTTCCTGCCTCAGGAACACCGCATTTGCCACTCTGGGAATCGAGTTCCACCCAACTTCATTGGATCCTGCAACGGCCGAAATCACCAAGCGAAAAGGTCAATGCAAAGTAGACCCCAAGTAACCAGGCAGATCCGATCATGAATCCAGACGCGTCGCTGGTAAAATTTTGGGGCGGGGCATTTGGTCGAGCGAGTGTGATGGAGGGGAGACTAGAGGAAGTCGTCTGATCGCTCAGCACGGCGTGAATGACACTCTCGCCCTCTCACATTCTTGGGTGATGGTTTTCAGCCATCTTGAATGGAACTAAGTCGACAAGTGTTGATGCTAAACGGCATGGTGGGTAGACCATCCTAGACCGTCTTATCTAGACCATCTTTGAGATTTCTCGGTTGTTGTGGCCTGGACCGATCGAAGGGGTGGACTGGAAGGATGAAAAAAGTTCCCAGCCCTAGTTTCTGCTCTCCGCAGTTCGAAGGGGGGATGGCCAGGGCGCTCTGTGACACCGGCAGCTGCAGATCGACTGTGCGTAGAGAGTCGTTTGGGTCTGGGGTTACAACGCGCTACTGGATGGATGACTCGCAGCGATAGTATTCTTTCTCCAGCTAGCAGCAATTAGTCCCTGATAGCGTCTCGATAGTGTGGCCATCCCCTCCAGACCGATAGCCAGTCTCCGTTCAGGATTGATTCCCATCAGCTTCGACCAGAAAAAGCCGGGCAACGATGGACTCACTTGGGGGGAGGGGGAGTGTCTCGCTCGGATTCCGTCCAAGCCCAGGCGATCCTGGCTTTGTCCATTATTCTCAAGCGTATTGTTATAGTAGTAGAAGTGTGCTCTGACTCCATTGTGCCTTTGCGATGGTAGCCGGCCGGGTCACCCGAGTTTCCCGCGTGTGGTTACAACAGGTTTCATCGGCTGAACAGGGGTATCAGGCGGAGGGGAAGTGCTGCTGAGGAGCCTCGAGGTGAATATAAACAACCACGGAGTCCATGCCAGAGGAGAGGAGATGATGATATCTGGCGGTCGTCGTTTTTTATGTTGTACAAACTTCATCCTTTGTCCGAATCCATCTGCTTACTATTTCTCCGAGTGTACGGAGGAGTTACCTCTACTTCATCTTTTTTTTTTTCTCGCCTTTTCTTTTCTGGGGCGGCTGATAGGTGAGTGACATCGTTCACTTTCTCGAACGGGGTTACTCATAGCTTGACTAGCAACTGTCCATTCCTCCCTGTTCATCCATTTGCATGACAAGGACCAAGGCATAATTACTTGGGTGTCTCCTACTGGATTCCAAACAGACCTGCCAAGAACGTGCTGATTAAACCATCCACTCGCTGGCATTTACCTGCCTTGGACTCCTTCCTTTAACCTTGCAACGTGACCTGCCTTATAATCATTATTTTTGCTATATTATTGTCATCGTCTGCATTCTTGCCTTGTTTGGCTAGGTTTCATTCCTCGTTTTCATTGCTCAGCGTGACCGCTTTCCCTCCCACTGGCCTGGCGGTAAGTTACTAGTGAGTTACTTACTAGCCCCGATCACGACTAGTGCCCGTCGGTTCCTCAGGAACCAATCACCCCTCCTTCCCGTCGTGGAATACGATAGTCGACCCTCGCCTTGATTGTCTGTGCGGCCTATAGAAACAATACTACTACAGTTTGGAGGGTGTGTGGTGAGAAGGCGGCTGCTTCCATGTGAGTGGATGGATTCTTCTCTTTTTTGTTTCTTTTTGCCTCCCCAGCGTACACTATCACCTCAGATCGTCACCCTCTTACATTTACACTTTTGGCATCTTTTTTTCTTTTTCTTTTCTCTTGTTGCAGCGGAGTGGAGTGGAACCCGGATGAGCGGTAACCATACCGTACCGTACCGTGGAAGCTCCGCTTTGCCCCTCTCTCTCCAGGCTTTGGATCCCGCGTCTCCCGCCATGACGCCATGGGTTCGGCTGCTGTTTGTGACGGTTTTGAGTTTCCCCGCAAGCTGACGATCAAATTAGAATTTCTTAGTTCTGGAGGAGGTAGTGGGCAGAGAAGAAAAAAAGAAATTTGGCTCAGGACAAAGTAGAGTTTGGGATCAAAACAGAGGAGAAAAGGGACAAAAAAAAAAAAAAAAAAAAAAAAAAAAAAGAAGGAAATATAAACTGCAGTACCCAGACTCCCGCAGAACCGAAAGAAAGGAGGCTCATGATTTTTCCCCTGAGTCATTGTATCACGGCG